AAATCAAAACCACAATGAGATATCATCTCATGCCAGTTAGAATGGCGATCATTAAAAAAATCTGGAGACAACAGACGCTGGAGAGGATGTGGAGAAATAGGAACACTTTTACACTGTTGGTGGGAGTGTAAATTAGTTCAACCATTGTGGAAGACAGTGTGGCGATTCCTCAAGGATCTAGAAATAGAAATTCCATTTGACCCACAATTCCATTACTGGGTATATAGCCAAAGGATTATAAATCATTCTATTATAAAGACACATGCACACATATGTTCATTGCGGCACTGTTTACAAAAGCAAAGACCTGGAACCAACCCAAATACCCATCAATGATAGACTGGATAAAGAAAATGTGGCACCTATACACCACAGAATACTAGGCAGCTATAAAAAATGATGAGTTTCTGTCCTTTGTAGGGACATGGATGAACCTGGAAACCATCATTCCCAGCAAACTGACACAAGAACAGAAAATCAAATGCTGCATGTTCTCACTCATAGATGAATGTTGAACCATGAGAACACATGGACACAGGGAGGGAAGCATCACACACTGGGGTCTGTTGGGGTGGACTAGGGGAGGGATAGCAGGGGGTAGGGAGTTGGGGAGGGATAACAGCGGGAGAAATGCCAGATATAGGTGACGGGGGTGGATGGAGGCAGCAAACCACATTGCCATGTATGTACCTATGCAACAATCCTGCCTGTTCTTTACATGTAACCCAGAACCTAAAGTGCAATAAAATGTATATAAAAACAAAAACAAACAGAAAAAAAAGAATAGAGAATAGCCTTCAGATAGATTTCTCCAAGGAAGATCTACAAATGGCCATAAACACAGGAAAAGAGGTTCAATATCATTAGTCCCTAGGGAAATACAAATAAAAACCATAGTGAGATACCACTTTAGATGCACTAGGATGGACAAAATAAAAAAGACAGACAATAATAAGTGTTGCTGAGTATGTGGATAAATCAAAATCCTCATACACAGCTTATGGGAAGGTAAAATGGTTCAGCCACTTTGGAATATAGCTTGGCAATTCCTCAAAACTTCAACAGAGTTACTGTATGTATGACCCAGTAATGCTACTTCTAGATACATGCCCCAAAGAAAAATGAAAACATATGTCAACACAAAAATTTGTACATGAATGTTCATAGTAACATTATTCATAATAGCCAAAAAGTGGAAATAACTCAAATGTCCATCAACTGACATAAAGCATAAACAAAATGTCGCATATCCACCCAACAGAAAATCATTCAGCTGCATAAACAAATAAAATAGTAGTGATACACGCTACAATGTGGATAAACCTTGAAAATGTTATGCTAAGTGAAAGAAGACAGTCAAAAGGACACATAATATGTGATTCCATTCATTTCATCCAGAATGGGGACATCTATAGAGACACAAAGTAGATAAGTGTCTACTTAGGACTGGAGGCGGGAGGTGGGGAAGAAGGGATAGCAGGATAGTGAAAATGTTCTAAAATGGAATGTGGTGATGGCTGCACTATCTGTGAATATGGTAAAGTCCACTGAATTGTATGCTTTAAACTGGGGAACTGAATGTTATGTGAATTCTCTCTTGAAACTGTTAAAATAAATAAATAAAATGATTTAATCGTGAACAAAAACCTCAACAGGAAAAGACAAATCAAATAAGGAAGTTGATTAGAAAATGGGCAAAAATCAGGAGTTGGAGGCTGCAGTAAGCTATGATCATGCCACTGTACTGCGCCCTAAGTGACAAGGTGAGATACTGGCTCGACAAAAAGGAAAAGGAAAAAAAAAAAAAACAGAAAATGGGCAAAAAACATGAACAGACATTTCACTGAAGAAGACATACAGATGGAAAACAGGCACACAAAAGTTGTTCAAAATCATTAGCCATGAGGGAAATGTAAATTAAACCACAATGAGATGTTACTACACATCTGTCAGAATGGTTAAAGTGAACAATAGTGATACCACCAAATGCTGGTGAGGATGTGGAGAAACTGGATTGCTCATGTATTGCTGGTGGAAATGTAAGATTGTATAGCTACTCTGAAAAACAGTTAAGCAGTTTCTTTAAAAAACTAAACATGCAATTACTATATGACATAGCAATTGCTCTTCTAGGCATTTATCTCATAGAAATGGTAATTTGTGCCTGGTGTGGTGGCTCATTCCTGTAATCCAAGCACTTCGGGAGGCTAAGGTGGGTGAATCACTTAAGGTCAGGAGTTCTAGACCAGCCTGGTCAACATGGCAATATCCTGTCTTTACCAAAAATACAAAAAAAAAATTAGCTGGGCATGGTTGGCACACTGCTGTAATCCCAGCTACTCAGGAGGCTGTGGCAGGAGAATCACTTGAACTCAGGAGGTGGAGGTTGCAGTGAGCTGGGACGATGCCACTGCACTCCAGCCTGGGTGACAGCGTGAGACTCTATAAAAAAAAAAAAAAAAAAAAGAAGTGAGAATTTGTGTTCACAGAAAACCCTGTACTCAAATGAATATAGCAGCTTTACTTATAATAGTCATAGACTGGAAACAACTCAAATGTCCTTCAACAGGTGAATGGCTAAACCAATTGTGGTAAATCTATACCATGAATGCTACTCAATAATAAATTGGGAGGCTGAGGCAGGTGGGTCACCTGAGATTGGGAGTGTGAGAACAGCCTGGCCAACATGGAGAAACATCTTTAAGTAGAGATGTGCCCATCTCTACTTAAAGCACTGGGCACAGCAGCGCACGCCTGTAATACCAGCTACTCAGGAGGCTGAGGCAGGAAAATCGCTTGAACCTGAGAGGCGGAGGTTGTGGTGAGCCGAGATCATGTCATTGCACTCCAGCCTGGGCAACAAGAGTAAAACTCCGTCTCAAATAAATAAATAAACAGAAAAAATAAAAAGAAGTCTGGGCACAGTGGCTCATTCCTGTAATTCCAACACATTGGGAGGCCAAGGCAAGAGAATCACTTAAGCCCAGGAGTTCAAGGGCAGCAGAGTGAGACTCCATCTCTACAAAAAATAAGAAAATTAGCTCAAAATGGTGGCTTGTGCCTGTAGGCCCAACTACTCACAAGATTGAGGCGGAAGTGTCAATTGAGCCCGGTAAGTCAAGGCTGCAGGGAGTTGAGATCACCCCACTGCACTCCAGCCTGAGTGACAGAGCCAGACTGGCTAAAAATAAATAAATAAGTAAATAATAAAAAGAAACAATTATATTTTGTTTTTTTTGGAGACGGAGTTTCGCTCTTGTTACCCAGGCTGGAGTGCAATGGCACGATCTCGGCTCACCGCAACCTCCGCCTCCTGGGTTCAAGCAATTCTCCTGCCTCAGCCTCCTGAGTAGCTGGGACTACAGGCATGCGCCACCATGCCCAGCTAATTTTTTGTAGTTTTTAGTAGAGATGGGGTTTCACCATGTTGACCAGGATGGTCTCGATCTCTTGACCTCGTGATCCACCCGCCTCGGCCTCCCAAAGTGCTGGGATTACAGGCTTGAGCCACCGCGCCCGGCCAAGAAACAATTATTGATAGATCCAAAAAGCTGGATAAATCTCCTGAGAGTTATGCTAAGTGAGAAAAGCTATCTGAAAAAATTATATACTATATCATTCTACTAATATAACATTCCTGAAATAAAATTATAGAAATAAAGAACAGGGTTAAGGAGAAGGTGGAGCAAGAGGGAAGCAGATGTGGCTATATTAAGGCAATATAGCCTGGTGGTGATGGATGTTCAGTATCTTGATTTGATGTCAACATCCTGACTGGCATGGTACTATAGTTTTGCAAGATATTACCATTGAGGGAACCAGAGTAAAGGGTACAAGGAATTTCTCTCTATAATTTCTTAAAACTGCATGTGAATCTACAATCATATCAAAATGAAAAGTATATCCAGGCACAGTGACTAGATTACACCTGTAATCCCAGCACTTTGGGAGGCCAAGGTGGGAGCCCACTCCAGACCAGCCCAGGCAACTTGGCGAAGCCCTGTCTCTACAAAAAATGCATAAATTAGCCTGCCTAGGTGGTGGGCATCTGTAGTCCCAGCTACTCGAGAGGCTGAGGTGGGAGGATTGCTGGAGCCCAGGAGGGGGAAGCTACAGTGAGCCATGATTATGCCACCGTACTCCAGCCTCGGTTACAGAGTGAGACCCTGTCTCAAAAAAAAAAAAAAAAAAAAAAAGAGAGAGAGAGAAGTTTACTTAAAAAACAAAGCACATGCACACTAAGAACCAGGTGAAAAAAAAAAAGAAAAAGGACCTATGGGAGAAACAAAACACTTTTTTTTTTTTTTTGAGACCAGGCTGGAGTGCAGTGGTGTGATCTTGGCTCACTGCAACCTCTGCCTCCCAAGTTCAAGCGATTCTCCTGCCTCAGCCTCTGAAGTAGCTGAGATTACAGGTGCATGCCACCACACCCGACTAATTTTTGTATTTTTAGTGGAGAAGGGGTTTCAACATGTTGGCCAGGTTGGTTTCAAGCTCCTGACCTCAGGTGATCCACCCGCCTCCTCCTCCTAAAGTGCTGGGATTACAGGCATGAGCCACTGCATCCTGCCACAAAACACTCTTAAAAGTTCAACACAAATTTCAAAGGGACAGGTAGCGAATCAATACTGAATGCCTTTCCCTCCTTTTTTTGCCTGACAAAACTTTACATATCCTTTAAGGTCCAACTCAAATGGCACTTTCTCAGTGATGTCTTCCTCAAATTCCAGGAGTTCTCAAACTTTAGTTAGCATCAGAATCACCTGGGGGAGTGTGCTGAAACAGATTTCCTGCCCCTGTCATGATTTTGATTGGAAAATCCTGATTCTGGAGCCTGTGAATTTCTATTTCTGACATTTTCCCAGATGGTGCTGATGCTGTTGGCTCATGAACCACACTCAAAGTAGCACTGTTACATATTTGTAGCCGTCTTCCACAAGACTGAGAACTCAGTAAGGAATCCCTTCCAGCAGGTAGCAGGCAAGAAAGAAATGTCTTACTCTTTTTTGTTTCTTTTTATCTGCCTCTTCCTGTAAGTCTTGAAGGGCCCTTTGCACAAGCTTCATGTTCAAGTCTTGTTCGTCTCTGTATTCCTGCTGAATATGTTCTATCCTCTCTTGTAGGGCCTTTTGCAACATGGTCCTAGTTTCCTGCTTTGCCTTCTGTTTCTTTAGTTTATCCTGTTCATTCTCATGTTTAATCTGTGCATTGTTACTTTCCTAAGGTAGAATCATAATAAAGATAAAACATCAGTACAGTTGGACAAGACAAGTTAGTGCATTTGATTTAGGAGATGAGAATAAAGGATTTTTGGAAATACACACACACACCTAGATTTAGAGAGGCTGTAAGAAATAAAACTTGCCTTTTCACAGTTGAGTCAGCAATAAATGAAAATTACCTGGGCATGTGTGGTTTTAAAGTAATAAATAGTTGTAGAGTTGAAAAACAGAAAAGTATAAAGAGACGCCACTTTTAATCCCAGAACCTGTTGCCCACCACCATTCTCCACCTGTGGGTGTGTTGGCCTTCCAAACTTGACCCTTCTATGTACTCTTCACCATACATTTGAATACATTATTAAACTGAAAGTCCAAAAATGGAAATGTGCCTGTAAACCAGCCGAGGCCATCAGACAAATTATACGGTAACAGGCCTGCAAACTGTACTCCACCCATGGAGTTGATCACCCTATCACAAGCAGTTTAAAGGCCCACCACAAGGCGCGCCTCCTCTTCCTTCAACAGCTGTAGTGCCTTCCTTTGTGCCTTGATGCTGGTGATCTGGGCATTCAGCCCCAGGCGTGTATTCTCCATCAGCTCTTTCTGTCTCCTCTCCTCTTGGGCTTCTCGCTTTTCCTTGGCTAATCGGTCTTCCTCCCAGAGTTTGGAGAACATCTGCTCTTCCACCAGCTTTTGCCTCCTCAGCTCCTCATTAAATGCGATCTGTGCTTTCCGCTCCTCACACACCTTCTTCTGATGGATACAAAACAATTCAACACGGAGCTCCTGACAGTGTTCCCTGAAAAGGAAATTTTAAAAAGACAAAACACAGCCTTTCATGAATCACTGCTCTATTGAGGCACCATCTGTACACAATGGAGCAAGAAAAATCAAAGACCTGGATGCAGGCCCCCATCGGAGCATAGGAAACATGAAGGAGTAGCAGAGAGGCAGGCACCAGGATGGCACAGCCTGACTATGGAAACTGGAGTCAGGCAAAGGCAGCCTGACTCCATTTCCTGTGTGACCTTGGACCAAAAACTCAACCTATTAACTCAAATGACTGACCTATTCACTTGACTTTGAGAACCCCTCATTTAGCGATGCTCACTTTTTTTTAAGAGACAAGGTCTCACTCTGTCGCCCAGGCTGGAATGCAGTGGCATGATCATGGCTTACTGCATCCTTGAACTCCTGGCCTCAATTGATCTTCCCACCATTGCCTCCCAAGTAACTGAGACTACAAGCACGTGTCACCATGTCTGGCTAAACAATTTTTTTTGTAGAGACAAGGTCTCACCATGTTGCCAAGGCTGGTCTCCAACTCCTAGCCTGCAGTGATTCTCATGCCTCAGCCTTCCAAAGTGCTGGGATTACAGGCATCAACCACCACACCATGCTGAGATGCTCACTATTGATAGACAGGATATCTGGCCAGGCATGGTGACTCATATCTGTAATCCCAATACTTTGGGAGGCCAAGGCAGGAGGATCGCTGGAGCCCAGGACTAGCCTGGGCAACACAGTGAGACATTGTCTCTATAAAAATTTTCAAAAAATTAGTTAGGCATGGTGGTACATGCCTGTAGTCCTACCTACTTGGGAGACAGAGTCAAGAAGGCCACTCAAACCCAGGAGTTTCTGGCTGCACTGAGTTAGGATCATACCAATGCACTCCAGCCTGCACTGTAGGTCAGTAAGAAAGACCCTATCTCTAAAAAAAAAAATTAAATTAAATGATGGATGAAATGTCTATTTATTCTCAAGATAACAATCATCGATAAGAGGAAAACTTTCTGTTTGTGAATGCTTTATAGGTAGCAGGTATCATCCCTATCTTAGAGTTAAAGCAACGGAGACTCAGGGAGCCCAAGTGTCTCCCCAAGTCACATAGCCAGTAGTAAGAATATTATTAGCAAAAGTTATTAAGTGCTTATTATCTGCCAGATTCTATTCTAAGCACTTTACCATGTATGAACTCTTGTAATCTTTATAATAACCAATATGGCAATGAACATTACTGCAAGTTCATTTTTGTTATTTTTATTATCCTTGGTTTACAGATGAGGAAATGGAAGCACAGAGCAGTAAGCGTCTTATCTAAGTTCATCCATTTAATATGTGGTAGAACTGGGACTGAAGACCTGGCAGTGTGGCCCTGGAGTTTGGATTTCTTGGTGCCTCACTGTATCACCTCCACCATCAACTGATAGATGCAAGACTACCTCTGACTCACAGGCATTCTGACCATACATCCCAGGATATTCATTAATAAAAACACCCCAAAACAAACCCTTGAAATGCCTACCTTAATCTGGGGTCTAATTATTAACTGCGTATAATTACAGGGTATTTAAAAAGAAATTTCATAATGTACCAAAAGCACAATCCATAAAAGAAATATTGACAAATTTGATTTCATTAATATTAAAAACTTTTGCTCTGTACAAGATCCTTTCAATAGGATAAATGAGACAGAACTACTGAATGGTGAAAAAAAGGAAAAACCATTTAAAACATGAAAAAAAAAAGATAATGTATAGACTAGGAAAAAACCCACATATCGGACAAATAAGTTCTATCTAGAATACATAAAGAATTCTCAAAACTTGCAGGGCGCGGTGGCTCATGCCTGTAATCCCACTTTGGGAGGCCGAGGTGGGTGGATCACCTGAGGTTGGGAGTTTGGGTCCAGCCTGACCAACATAGAGAAACCCTGTCTCTACTAAAAAAATACAAAAATTAGCCAGGTGTGGTGGCGCATGCCTGTAATTCCAGCTACTCAGGAGGCTGAGGCAGAAGAATCGCTTGAACCCAGGAGGTGGAGGTTGCAGTGAGCCAAGATTGCACATTGCACTCCAGCCTGGGTAACAAGAGTGAAACTCTGTCTCAAAAAATATATATATCAAAACTTAACAGCTTAAAAAAAAAAAAAGGACAAAAACTTAACAGCTAAAAAAATCTAAATTCTAAAAATCTAACTAGAAAATGGGCAACAGATATCGAGACATTTTACCAAAGAAAATGTACAGATGGAAAATAAGCACATGAAAAGTTGCTCAACAACAGCAGCCATTAGGTAAATGCCAATTAAGCCCATGATGAGATATCACAGCACACCTATTAGAACAGCTAAAAAAAAACAAAAACAAAACATAAATGACGCCACCACCAAAAGGAGCATGTGGAAAAACTGGACCTCATCTACTGCTGGCGAGACTGTAAAATGGTACAGCTACTCTAGAAAATAGTACATCATTTATTTAAAAAATTACATATGATCCAGCAATAATATATGATAATTTGCCTAAAGAAATGAAAACATATGCTCACACAAAAACCTGTACACAAATGTTCCTGTCAGATGTACTTATAGTAGAGCAAAACTAGAAACAAACAAAATGTCTTTCAATAAGTGAATAGTTTAAACAAACTGAGGTACATTCATGTAATGAAATACTACTCAGTAATATAAAAGACAAACCAGCAATACCTCCAACAACTTGGATGGACCTTAAAGGCATTATGTTGAGTGAAAAAGGCCAATCTCAAAAGATCACATATTGTGTGATTCCATTTACACAACATTCTTAAAATAATGAAATTATGGAAATAGAGATTAGTTGTTGTCAGGGTTAGGAATTATGGGGGTGAGAGTAGTGGGCAAGACTAGAGAGAGGTAACATGCAGATGTTTGCGGTGATGGAATAGTTCTGTATCTTGATTGTAGCGGTGGTTACACGGATCCACAGGTGATAAAATGGCACAGAACTAAACACACACCTTGTACCACTGTCAGTTTCCTTGTTTTAATAATGTATTACAATTACGAAAGATGTAACCACTGGAGGAAACTAGGTGAAGGGTATATGGGATCTCTGCACCATCTCTGCACTTTCTGTAAATCTATAATTATTTTAAATTAAAAACAAAACAAACAAAACCACTGGTAATTTTTTTCTTGTCATTATTATCCATTTCATTTCATTATTATTGCTGAAAATAATTTTGCTGTATAGAAGATAAGGAGCACTAAAAATGATCTATTCCATGTATCAAATATTCTACGAATGTCACTGAATATATCAAAGAGAATTGAATGCATATGCCATCAGAAGACATGTATATTCATCATAATTTTATTCATAAGAGTCCCACACTGAAAATAACTGAAATGACTGTCACCAAGAGAACAAATAAACTGTGGTATATTTATTGCAATGGAATACAAAAAAAACACACAAGAAAAAGAAGAAAGAGGAAAATTATTCTGCTTTATATTAATATATGTATTAAAGCCTCAATGATATTTTCAGTAATAGGGTCTAACAACACATCCTTACTCAACAGTATGTTTGCTTATCCATATTGAGGAGTTGGCAGTGTTGTATTAAAAACACTGAAAACAATTTGTTTTCAGATAAATTACATTACTATAGGATACATTTGTTTCTTTAAAATTTTTAACAATTTATCTAACTAGCAAAAACTCAGTTATACAAGTGAAATCTGTAAAATGTTGCTAAATCCATAAATTTTAAAAGCACAATTGCTTATGAACTATTCATTTTTCTTAATACATTGAGAGAAATTTACTAGGGAATAGAAAATATACGGATGGTTCACTGAGAGTCACTTGGCTAATATACCATTTTCCCCCCACAGCATCTTTTCCCCCCAGCAGCCAGTAGCAAGGATGTCTAAATCCCATGAAGGACAGGGTATGGGTGCATGCTTTATGCAGGCTTGAAAATCCAAGTCTAATCCTCTTTTGGTCACCTCAAGCTTAAGACCTAGACAAATCCCTACCTATAGAACTCAGTTATCCATCTACAAGCTGAGGAGAGTGGCAAGTCGCTTCTGGCCCTATGCATTACTACTCTGGGTTTTCTTCACTGCCCTCCTTCAGCAGCTCCCCAGGCCCTGAAACTTCCTATTCCCTCTCCTTTTCACAGTCTGAATTTACTTTTAGCAGCTGCATCTGCAACTTGTATCCACTACTCACTGCAACGGCTTACTTCTCCTTCTGGCCTCTAGTAGGAGGGTTTAGGATTTAGGGCTGTCCATATTATTAATAGCAACTTCACAGCAGAAAGAGCAAATGGAAGAAGCTTTCTCTGCACCATGTCTTGATCCTTCCACAGAACTCATTTTGCTGCTTTTCACATCTGTTGACCTTCGTATTTCTGGTCTACTCAGATTTTGAGTGCTATGAAAAATGAACTCTTGTATTCCTTCTGTATTCTACCAGATTTTAACTCAGGTATTTTTGGACCATCCGTTCCTCAATCTGGCTTAACATGATACACACCATGCCCCACTTAAACTAGATGACCTGACAACTTAAGTGACAATCACTCTCACAGAGCCCAGCATAACGTAGGAGCTCAAAAGTATTTACTGAATGAAGGAATGCTAATGGCTATGTTTTAAACACTTCCAAGTAATATTTGGACTTTAAAAATCCCTTCTGAATATAAAAATCTTAGTTATTCTAAAATTAAAAGACAGACGAAATGGATAATTTAGGGCATTCCATGGGTCATATCATGTGATCATGGCGCTCAGAGATGTGTCTGAAAAAAGGGGCAAAATGCGCCATCACTGCTATTATTCAACATAGCATTGGAAGTCCTAGCTAGAGCAATCACACAAGAGAAAGATATAAAGGGCCTCCAAATTTGCAAAGTAAGAAGTCAAATTATCCTTGTTTGCAGATGACATGATCTTACATTTGGAAAAACCTAGACTCCACAAGAAAACTCTAAGAATTGCTAAACAAATTCAGTAAAGTTGCAGGATACAAAATCCACATACAAAAATCAATAGTACTTCTGTGCTTACAGTGAACAACATGAAAAAGAAATTTAAAAAGTAATCCCATTTCCAATAGCCACAAATAACATTAAATACCTAGGAATTAACCAAAGAAGTGAAAAATCTCTACAATGAAAACTATAAAACACCAATGAAAGAAATTGAAAAGGACACCAAAAAATTGAAAAATATTCCATGTTCTTGAATTAGAAAATCAATATTATTAAAATATCTATACCACCCAAAGCAATCTACAGATTCAATGCAATCCCTATCAAAATACCAATGACATTCTTCACAGAGATAGAAAAAAACAGTTGCTCATGCCTGTAATCCCAGCACTTTGGGAGGCGAAGGCGGGTGGATCACTTGAGACTGGGAGTTCGAGACCAGCCTGGGCAACATGGTGAAACCCTGTCTTTACTAAAAAAAAATGAAGAATTAGCTGAGTGTGGTGGTACGCACCTGTGGTTCCAGTTACTTGGGAGACTGAGGCAGGAGAATTGCTTGAACCTAACCTGGGAGGCAGAGGTTGCAGTGAACTGAGATCCTGTAAATGCACTACAGCGTAGAAAACAGAATGAGATCCTGTCTCAGATAGATAGATAGATAGATAGATAGATAGATAGATAGATAGATAGATACGTTAGACAGATAGATATAGATAGATAACCAAAGCTATTCTAAGCAAAAATAACAAAACTGGACAGCATAGTACTAGCATAAAAACAGACACATAAACCAAAGAAAAGGAATAGAGAACCCAGAAACAAATATACAGTGAACTCATTTTTGACAAAGGAGCCAAGAACATGCACTGGGGAAAAAACAATCTCTTCAATAAATGATGCTGGGAAAACTGGATATCCATATGCAAAGAATGAAAATAGGCCCTATCTTTCATCATCTATAAAAGTCAAATCAAAGGATGAAAATAGACCTATCTTTCATCATATATAAAAATCAAATCAAAATAGATCCAAGACTTAAATCTAAGACCTCAAACTATGAAACTACTACAAGAAAACATTGGGGGAAAATCTCTAGGACATTGGTCTGGGCAAAAGATCTCTTGAGCAATACCCTACAAGCACAGTCAACCAAAGCAAAAATGGACTACTGGGGCCGTATCAAATGGGATCACATCTTTTACATAGCAAAAGATACAATCAACAAAGTGAAGAGGCAACCCACAGAATGGGAGAAAATATCTGCAAACTACTCCTCTGAGAAGAGATTAATAACCAGAAGCTCAAACAACTCTATAAGAAAAAAATTTAACAACCCCATCAAAAAATGGGCAAAAAATTTCAACAGACATTCCTCAAAAGAAGACATAAAAACGGCAAACAGGCATATGAAAAGGTGCTCAACGTCATGGATCATCAGGGAAATGCAGATCAAAACTACAGTGAGATATCATTTCACCCCAGCTAAAATGGCTTACATCCAAAAGATAGGGAATAACAAATCCTAGTGAGGATGTGGAGAAAAGGGAACCCTCATACACTGTGGGAATGTAATACAACCACTATGGAGAACAGTTTGGAGGTTCCTCAAAAAACTAAAAATAGAGCTACCATAGATCCAGCAATCCCACTGCTGGGTACAGACCTCAAAGAAAGAAAATCAGTATATTAAAGAGATGTTTGCACTCCTGTGTGTGCTGTAGCACTGTTTATGATAGCTAAGATGTGGAAGCAACCTAAGTGTCCATCAACAGATGAATGGATAAAGAAAATGTGGTACATATACACAATGAAGTACTATTCAGTCATAATATAGAATGAAATCCAGTCATTTGTAACACCATGGATGGAGCTGGAGGTCATTAAGCGAAGTAAGCCAGGCACAGAAAGACAAACATGGCATATTCTCACATATTTGTGGGATAAAAAAATCAAAACAATTGAACTCATGGAGATAAAGAAAGATAGTTACCAGAGGCTGGGAAGGATAGTGGGGGATTGGGGGTGGAGGTGGGGACAGTTAATGGGTACCAAAAAAAAGAATGAATGAATAAGACCTATTGTTTGACAGTACAACAGGATGACTATAGTCAATAATAACTTAATTGTACATTTTAAAATAACTTAGAGTATAACTGGATTATTTGTAACTCAAAAGATAAATGCTTGAGGGGATGGATACCCCACTCTCTATGATGTGCTTATTTCACATTGCATGCCTATATTAAAACATCTCATGTACCCCATAAATATATACACCTACTAAGTACCCACAAAAATTTTAAAAAAGAAGAGAATAAAGGGAAAAAATGAACAAACTATCCTGAGATGCATAATGGAATTATTTTTTTAATTGACAGCGTCTCAGTCTGTTGTCCAGGCTGGAGTCCAGTGTTGCAATTGCAGCTCACTGCAACCTCGAACTCCTGGGCTCAAGTGATCCTCCTGTCTCAGCCTCCCGAGTAGCTAAGACTAGAGGCACATGTTACCATGCCTGGCTAATTTTTTTATTTTTTGTAGAGGTAAGGTCTCACTATGTTGCCCAGGTTGGTCTCAAACTCCTGGCCTCAAGCGATCAAAGTGCTGGGATTATAGGTGTGAGTTGACGTGCACAGCCAAATAACAGCAATTCTTTTTTTTTTTTTTTGAGTTAGAGCGAGTCTCATTCTGTTGCCCAGGCAGGAGAGCAGTGGTGCGATCTTGACTCACTGCAACCTCCACCTCCCAGGTTCAAGCAATTCTCCTGCCTCAGCCTCCCAAGTAGCTAGGACTACAGATGTGTGCCACCACACCCAGCTAATTTTTTGTATTTTTAGGAGAGACAGGGTTTTACCATGTTAGACAGATGGCCTCAAGCTCCTGACCTCAGGTGATCTGCCTGCCTCAGCCTCCCAAAGTGCTGGGATTACAGGTATGAGCCACCATGCCCAGCCCAATTCTTAATGTTTATACTCTTAGAAGTATCAGAAGCACTGAAAACACAACTGAGGAATTACAAAAACATTATAAATATATAATAGCTCTTGTTCTAAAAGCTGTAGCTCTAGGGAGAGATATAAGACATTGAGACCTACAAAAAAAGAAAAAGAAAAAAAAAGACATTGAGACTTTTTAGTATATTTTTGCTTTAGAGGTAAAAAATATCTTTGTGAAATTAAAAGCATCTGCCAAGCTCCTGATTATATAACACTATAGACCATCTCAGAGGATCACTCTTGGGTACTCCCACAGAAATCTTCCCTCTGTAAGTGCACAGTAGTGGGTAGTCTATCAGGGTATGGATTCAGGGTATCCTAAGATGGAAAAGCACAATGAAAAGGGATATGGAGACAAGCACAGGACCAGACTGAGTACAGTAAAGTCCAGGGATCTGAAAACTGAGGGTCGCCATGGGTCTGGGTCAGGAAGTGCCTTATAAATCCAGGTGATCAGACCCCAATGATCAGAATACCAGGCAAGGAAACAGAAAATAAAGAAGAGAGGGCCAAGCGTGATGGCTCATGCCTATAATCCCAATACTTTGGGAGGCTGAGGTGGGTGTACCGCTTGAGTCCAGGAGTTCAAGACCAGCCTGCGCAACATGACAAAACCCCATCTCTACAAAAAATTAGCTGGGCACGGTGGCACATGCTGGTAGTCCCAGCTACTCGGGAGGCTGGAGCAGGAGGATCACTTTGAGCTCATGAGGCAGAGGTTGTAGTCATGATCACACCATTGCACTCTAGCCTGGGTGACAGAGCAAGACCCTGTCTCAGAAAATGACAACAAAATCCCCAGAGAACCAAGCACACATTCAGCATAGGTAGAGACTATAGCAGTAGGAAGAGAGTCCAACTTTACCAAAGATTCCTTCGCATAGGGGGTTTTGAAGCACTTCCTGCCAAAAGCAAGGCTGAGGTTAATACCAAGTTCAGTAACAAAATCTCATTTAATAACTTCCATTCTAATTGAGAAGCAAACACAGAACATTAGGGCATAGTTCTCAAGCACACACTGTATTATTCAATGATATGTAATACACTGCCAAGACTTAAAGTTACAAGTACTGTGTAAATCATCTTAAGACTAATTTACTTTAAATTAGCATTCTTAAATCTATTTTAATGTACCAACTTTGGATTCTGTTTGTGTGTTTTCTGATTTCATTACCTGAATTGCTGGTCTAGCTTTTCAGCTACAAAATCCTGCCTCTCTTTTTCATTCTTCTCTTTTAGTAATTTAGTTTTCTCTCTCATCCTATCTATTTTCTCCTCAATGGTTTCTTTCTTCAATTGCATTTCTGTAAAATACTCATTTTCTTCTAATGCTAAAAGTTCACGTAGCCTGAAACAAAAAGCCAAAAAAAGAAAAAAAGAACTGTCATGCTACATTTTACTAATTTTTGTTATATTCAATTTCAGAATTATATGTCTAATAAATTTTGTAAGAAGAGAAAGATCATTATGGTCTTCCATAAAATAAGACTAGTTATTATTATTTTTTTTTTGAGATAGGGTCTCACTCTGTCACCCAGGCTGGAGTGCAGTGTGATCATGGCTCACTGCAGCCTTGACCTCCTGGGCTCAGATGATCCTCCCACCTCAGCCTCCTGAACAGCTGGGACTACACTACACCCAGTTATTTAAAAAAAATTTTTTTGCAGAGATGGGGTCTCACTACATTGCCCAGGCTGGTCTCAAACTCCTGGGCTCAAACAATCCTCCCACCTCAGCCTCCCAAAGTGGTGAGATTATAGGCATGACCCACCACACCCAGCCAATTGTACCATATTTTATTTGATCACATACAAATGACATATGAAATAAATATTTTTAACAAAAGAACAAAATGAAGATTTCAATTAAAATGCAACATGAAACAATGTTTTATTTTCCATCAAAACATAGGCTATCACAAGTAAAAATATTAAAAATATTAACCAACAATAGTTATTGATTTTAATATAAACAGCTCAGCCATGAGCCTCCCTAAATTTGATTTTTGACTGGCCAATCTCAAATTGTAGGAATATTACATAGTTTGGGTCCCAGGTCTGTGAACCTTACTTATTTCGTCTTTCTTCAATGTTAATGATAAACCCTTGCACGGCATCCTTGATTCTTGCTCGCACAAGGTTGTCCAAAAACTTGCAGTCATGGTGCTGGTCCCACTCAACTTTCAAGCGATCCCGCTCATTTGACTTAATGGAAGCCAAAATAGCATTATGCTTCTGATGGCTGCGTCGGATTCTTTCTAGATGTTGCTCAGCCCTTTGGCCTTTAGGAGTCTTGGCTCTCTGAAAACAAAAACCAACTATCACTTATAAGCCAAGAATCAACTGCATATTTTCAATTAGTTATGCTCTCACTCAATACTCATACTAAAATAGGTTATAAAAAACTAATACATCCTGCTACAACTGAATACAACTTATGCACCTAAAGAGTAACTTGTTTCCTTCTCTGAGCCTATACCTAAGATGTCATCAGAACAGTCTCCAATATTTCTAAAGTGCCATTTGAAAAAAAGTTGATGGAATTACAAAGTTAAAAATGTGATCAGGACTCATAAACCCAGAGACATTAAGTGATTTGCTGAACTTGCTTCAAATAGGGCAAATAAAACAAGAATTAGAGGTCTTCTAATTCCTGACCTTGACATTGCCACCCACCATTCCACATTGTGTCTCATGAGTGGACACCATGTTACCACATCAAATATTGAAAATGTGTATATATATATATAGTGTGTGTGTGTGTGTACATGTATATATATGTGTGTATATGTATATAATGAGTTGTGACAATGAAAGATTTTTTACTAAGAAGAAAGGAGGAAATGAAATGAGGGAGAAAGAAAGAAGGGAATAGAAGGAAAAGAAACAAGGCTGGTGGTAGAACTGTATTCCTATTTCTATGGTGCCCAGAAGTTTTAATGCAAAGACTATGTTCCTGACCTTTTGGGCTACTATTGACTTTCTGTAAATGTATTGTTTTTACAGAAATGTCCACTAAAAAGTTAGAAATGCATGTACTATTTAAATATATATAGATACATTGATTTTCTTTCCTCAGGAGACTTCATTACAAACACCTACTGAAAACACATAGACCATATCTTTTTCCTTTCTGTATTCCTAGCATTAAACATAATGCCTACTACAGTGAGGTTCTCAACAGGAATGAATGAATAAATAAATGAATGCACAAGTCAATGAATGAAACAATGTTGCTGGGTGGGCTTGATGACATTTCTGCACCTCCTGGAGCCACCACAAAATCCATAGTCTTGAGTTTTGTATTTTCAGGAACAGTTTTATCAGTAATTCTTGGTTAAGTTGTGTAACACTGTGGTGCTGATTCATAAAAATAAAACTCTTAAGAGGCAGAGAGAGTCAGTCTGATCATTTACATTTAGAATATCAGCATCAGGATTACCAGAATATTAGGGTTAGGTGTTTGTAATGAAGTCTCTTGAGGAAAGAAAATCAATATTTGAAGACAGCTTAATGAAAAAATTCACAGCTCAGCACATGCATATTGGTACCTAGATTTAGCTGAACAAGATAAGGCAAACCTGGGGTGGTAAGGAAACAGAAGATGATGTTAGGGGTTATATCAAAGAAAATGGCTAATCCACATCAGAATTATTTGGAGCCTAGAGCCAACTAATTAGATTACTGTTCTCCAATACTGATGACATTTTATGAATATAGATCTGTGAAAATAAAGCAGAGGAGGGTCACAGAAGGCTGAGGTACATTTTGGTTGAGGAGGTGAGAAACAGCATGAACAGTACCCAAGGGATCAGGAAGCTGTTTAAGGCTTGGCCATCATGTGCAGGACTTTTGGTCTGGGAAGGACCCAATTTCTTGATAAGTTAGGGGTATGACCTGGAGTTCTCTAAAAAGGTAATGCTGATCTCGACACAGTCTTGGCATTGTTCAAAATCTGTACCAGTCAATAGGAATATAATGCAAACAGATACGTAATTTTAAATTTTCAAGTGGCTGCATTTAAAAAAGTAAAAAGAAACAGGGGAAGTTAATTTTGATAATATATTTTATTTAACCAATATATCCAAAATATTATCTTGTCAATATGTAACCCTAGGCACATTTCAAGTGCTCAAATGCTATGTGTGACTAGTGGCTACCTATTGGACACTGCAGCAGCAAACCATGCTAAAGTCAGGAGAACACATGATATTTTACTAACTACTATGGTTTTTCAAGGTCACTGAAGGCTTTTCTTACTGTAGCATCTCAAATTAGTTATTAGGATTACAATTTACACTTTGGTTGTCTTAAAGAACAATGCTTTACATCCTACGTTTGATTCTGGTCCTAGGATGGTCCTTCCCACACCAAAAGTCCTCTGTCCACTACTAACTGAATTGGGCAAGTTACTTAATCTCTTTGAATCTTAGTTTTCTCACCTGTCAAATGAGCAAAATAAGTATCCTCCTAATGGACTCCTAAGAGGCATTCATCAAATAGCTGGTCCTTTTGATATACTATTACTTCAGACATTACGTTTTTCACAGGTTTCTCCTGAGAAATTGTTTAGGTCCAAGTCTCATCTGTTGGTGGCTTTAATTCTTGCAACACAACTTTGCTACCTCTAACATCTATCTTTCTTATCATACACAAACACCAGAGGAGCAGATGCACCAACTCTAACCTCTTCCTTTTCCTAATTCTTTTTAAGTAAAGTATTCAATAGGCCCACTTCTCTGGTTTAGTGTTTTTGTTTGTTTTCTGTTCCTTATTGGTTCCCAACACAAGTAATAGCACCCAACAATGGCTCAGCCCCTTTGCCCTGTGTTTGGATACAGAACCTACAGATCAGTTTCTGTCCTTCATGAAGTTTGTTTAAAATTATCACCTTGAACCCTACAGCCCACTAAAGTGTCCCATCTACTGCTTTCCAGCTCCAGATCTTACAGTACTCGGACCTAAAGGAACAGGTCTATAGGTTGACTGAAGTTTGCTGAGTACACTGTGGAGCATAATAAAACGGTACCACTGATCTTTCTTCCATAAACTGACATCACTAACAATATAGCACATCATTTACCATGTTAACCTTTAGTGGTTTCATTACGCATAAGGTTTTTTTGCAGTTGGATTACATGTTGAACAACCCTAATTTGAAAATCTGAAATCTGAAATGCTCCAAAATCTGAAGCTTTTTGAGCACCAACATGATGACACAAGTGGAAAATTCCACAACTGATCTCATGTGAAAGGTCACAGTCAAAACTCAAGAAAACAACACATATTGCATCCCCAAGATGAAAATAAAATTACCTTTGGAGTAATGAAATATAAATTATGTATTTAGACTTGGGTCCCTTCCCCAAGATATTGTATTATGTAAATACTCCCAAATCAAAAAAAAAAAACTGAAATCCTAGACATCTCTGGTCCCAAGCATTACAGATAAGGGATATTTAACCTGTATATGCTCCTTGAAGGGAGGAATCAGGCTTCAATAAAGGGTTAACTTTCCAGGATCACTATATTTACCCCTGTATCTCCCACAATACTGCGCACACAGCAGGGGCTCAAGCAATAACTCTGCCTACATGGCAGTTTTCTGGTGGGTAGAAACTAGTTTGTAGAAACAAAGGAATCTACACGCGTGGACCAGTAGTGTCTGGGGTTCTCAGCAGGAACCATCAAATTCTGCAGCAAGCACATTTCCCTGGCCTACTACCACCACTCCAGCCTTAAAGGCAGGCACCTGGGTTTTTCCTAGGTCTGAAGGGACACCTCTGTCCAGCAACGGTTACTAGTTGAGTTGGCACAGGAATGGGGTTGGGTGCTATAACCACTCACAGCCTAATTCCCATTCCCCAGACGATTTTTCTAGGAGTGAAAGACCAGCCACTAATCATAGGCCATCCTTGCCCCCAGATCTGTCTCTGGGCCGAGTGCCCTTTCCATAACACTTTTGCCACTGCATAGGGAACAGATCTCATTTCGGTGTCTTGCAGACTGAAAAGCCCTAAGATCCCTAGTGGTGATTCTCCAAAAACAGACCTTAAATATTATAACTTTGGAGGCAGATGAAAGGCTGTCAGGATGAAAATAGACGGGGATGAGTGGGTGAGAGATCAGCGACCTTCCTTTTTTCAAAATTCAACCCACCGCATCAGGCGGCACCTGTTCCCCTCGAGAAAGCCCTGTTCGGGAGCCGAGATGGGCTCGGCCAGGTCTGGGATGCGCAGAGATGGAGAAAGCTGTAGGGTCCAGCACACACATCCTGTGCTTACCACGATCACCACTTTGGGAGTGGGGCCCTTAACCTCCCGCTGTACGGTGCCAAACCGCTGGCTGTACATTTTCGAGTCCCCTTCAGGATGGGGACGGCGTCCGCCGCTTTTCCCCCAACCGTAGCGACCTGCGAGACCTGCTTCCGGGACGCAGAAGTCTGGTTGCCATGGTGCCTCTCGCGGGGTGAGGGGGCAGGTAGAGGTGGGCGGGTCGGGCGGAAGTCGATCTGGTCACCATGGTGGCCGTAGACACCGGCACTCACGACTTCCTCTTCCAGCCTAGGAGCTGAGCCTGCGCGGTCCTCACCCCGCCCCTCGGCCAAACCCCGCCGACCTTGCTCCCTTCCTTTAGCGTTCATCAGAATGGCAGAAAAAACCTCTAGCCCAAGAGAAATCGAACCTCTAATTACGATTCCAGCTGACTTTGCTATTTATATCCTGTAATGGTCTAACAGTATGAGAAAGGTTAGCGAACATTTTTGGGGAAGCTTAAATTTTGCACCATCTCTAGGTTAATCTTGATGACTGTAATAATCGCAGGAAAGGCTGGGCGCGATGGCTCACGCCTGTAATCCCAGCACTTCTGGAGACCAAGGCGGGCAGATCACGAGGTAAAAGATCGAGACCATCCTGGCTAACATGGTAAAACCCCATCTCTGCTAAAACTACAAAACTTACTGGGTGTGGTGGCGCGCGCCTGTAATCCTAACTACTCGGGAGGCTGAGGCAGAGGTAGCAGTGAGCCGAGATTGCGCCACTGAACTCCAACCTGGTGACAGAGCGAGACTCCGTTTCAAAGTCATTATCATTGCAGGAAAACTTTACATTTGTGTAGTTCTTTACAATTTCCAACATATTTTCACACAACCTTTAAACCTCACAGATTTTGAGACAAGGTCTCGCTCTGTCGCCCAGGCTGGAGTGCAGTGGCGTAATCATGGCTCCCTGCAGCCTCGTCCTCCTGGGCCTCAGCCTCCAGGGTAATTGGGACTACAAGGCTCGCGCCACCACGCCCTTTTAATTTAAAAACAAATTTTGTAGCGATAGGGGGTCCCGCTTTGTTGCTCAGGCTGGAACTCCTGTTCCTGGGTTCAAGCGATCCTCGCCCCGCCCCCTCAACCCCTGCCCCCCGCCCCTCCCGCTGGCCTCCCCAAGTGTTGGGATTGCAGGCTGCGCCACCGCACCTGATTGAAAATATAAGGCTGGGAGCATAGCAAGTATTACTATCCTTATTTTCCAGCTAAGGCACCGCTCAGGGAGCCTAAGTGCCTTGTCAAACCAAATAATCAATAATTTTAAAAAAACACACACACAAAAACTAGTAGTTAATAAAATCTTCCTACCTGCCCTGGGCAGATACGAGGGTTTAGACTTAGGATATTCTAGGATGAGGGCAGATCAAATGGACTAGTGGGGCAGTGGTACGGCCTGGTGGAGCATAATTGTTGAGAGTCTGAGGATCACAGTGGACCTGGTTCCGGAGAATCAGGATCCAGGCAGAACAAGAAACACACATCAGGGAACCAGGACGAACCTGGAGCACAGCTGGTAACCACAGTCAAAAGCAAGGTGGTAATACCTAAAATCCAATTAATAATGACACTCTGGTACTCCCATTCTAAAGTGGAGGTGAGCATAGAACACTAGCGCACACACAACAAATCAGTACCTACGTCAGACTGTCGCATAACCATCAAAGTACAACTAATGTGTATACCCTCTTAAGGACGTAATTTACTGTAAATTAGCATTCCTTAATCATCTGTAAACCACCCACTTCGGATTTTGTATGTGGTACGTTTCTAAATACGAATTCCATTTCCTGAATTGCTGGTTCAGCTTTTCAGCCACAAAATAATGTCTTTCTTCTCTTTTAATAATTCTGTCATTTTGTGTGTTCTTTTCTTTCTATAATGCTTCTTCTTTCAATTGCAGTTCAGTAAAATACTCATTTGCATTTACTAAGAGTTTACGTGGCCTGAAACAAAAAAGAAACAAATTAGGTGGTCGTCTTGGTTTCCTGGAGGGTCCAGAGGGGCGGTTCCTTGATCTTCGAGTCCAACGGGCAGGCTCGTCGGTCTGGGCGGAACCACCCCCACCACACATCCTCCGGGAAGGCGCCAATGAAAACACCTTGGACCCGGAGCAAGGTTTGGGAAAATCAGCTGAGATTCGGGGCCGCCCAGTGGGCATTTCCAAGGTTGTGCAGCCCAGAGGGCTCCATCGGAATTTCTCTGAGGCGTTGGAGTAAACTGACCCTTGGCAACACCTGGCTTCCCTCCAACGTCCTAGGTCGTCGAGCCCCGCCCTCACCCTGGGAGAGCTCCGTAATTTAACACCGGTTCAGTTTTGCCAGTTTTACCACTATTTGAAGAGGGGGACTCGGCTTCCCTCTGGGTCTAGCCCAGATACAGGGTTTGCGCCGGGCAGAAACCACGCCCCAGCTAGCCAGGCCAGGGGTGATGGGTGACAGGCGGTACCTTCAGGGCCCCAGTGGGTGACCGCAGCCGGGAACTACAGGCTTTCTCGCCCCAGCGCCCCCTGGCGGGCTCACCAGCAGGTCGAAGGGGTCCGGACGGTGCCGAGCACCCAGAGCCTCAGCCTTCAGCCAATCCCCATCCCCCGCGGCCTAGGGACGTGAATCGCCCAGGGTCCCTGGACAGAAGTGACCTTGATCTTGCCACCCACTATCCCAGTTTCTCAGAGGCATTCAACACTGTTACCACCAAACCATTCCCAAAAGAAACACTAAGCATGTAAGTGGGACAAAAAAATTATTTAAAAATAATTTTTAAATAGAACAGCTTAGAGATAGAAACTAAATTATTTCCAATTCCTACTGTGCCCCAAACAAGGTTCACAAAAGGGCTGTCCTCCCAGAATTTCCTGAATACTATACTTTCAGCATTAAATTCCATGATAAAGTTGGAAATTCATTCACCATTTGTAATATATTGATTCATTTAATAAAACTGCATGGGCCATGTCTTTTGCATTTCTGTATCCCAGTATTAAGTACAGTGCCTACCACAGGCCAGGTTCTCAATACTTGAATAAACAACACAAAAATAGCCAGGACCAGCAAGTTTTGGGTGGGCTTCATAGAATCTCTGCACTTGCTGGAATCACCATGAAATCCATGGTCTTCAGTTTTGCATATTCAGCAACATAGTTTTATTGAGTTATCCTCAGGTGAGCAGTGAGGCCCTTGGGGGCTGATTCATGGTAGGGTGGCTTCGTAATGTGTCACCTTGGCTAGGCTATTTTTTCCAGAGCTCTCTTCCAGTAAGATGGGCCACAAGAGACATTCTGCCTGGTAACTGAAGGGCAGAAGTGAAGCAGCAGCATATTGTTTTTACACTTGGAAGGTTGGTGCTGTGTCACCAAGTGCTGTTGCAGTTCACACTTGCTGTCATGTATCTGCTGGCTCACCTCGGTGTGGGCAGCAGTCAGGCCTTTAGCCAGGCCTGCAGCTGCTCCACCTTCCCCAGGATCATCCTTGAGCTTCTCTAATTCCTGGGCCAGATGCATATTTAACTCTGTGAGGAAGGACACCAGCTTCTTCTGCAGGACACCCACGTCATCGAAGCTGGAGGTGGTGAGAGACTGACATGGGTTCTAGGCCATCCTCGTCGGTTCCAGCTCGTGCTTGTTGGCTCCACTGTGTCCTCGGTCTCCCACATTTTACATCCATCTTCCCTTCCCGAGTGCCTGCCCTGCAGACTTCAAGCTCCAGCATTAGATGCAAGGACAACAGCCTTAGAGACTGTTTAACAAGCTCCCACAATGGCATGCAGTCAGAGCCTTATAATAAATCCCTTAAAATACATATATACATAATCTTTATCTTAGTGGTTCTGCTCTTCTGATTGTACTCTAATACATACGGTAGGCAGAAGCTTAACTCATGAATCTAAATGCCAGTCAAAATAAATTTCATATAGACCATTGTCAAAATTACCAGAATACTGGGGTTGGTTGGTTGTTTCCTGGGGAAACAAAGCAGTATCAGTCTATCCAGCCTTGACTAAGGCTGAACTAGTTAGGATGGAATAAAGGAAGGGGGAAGGGAAGGTGGCAGAGGTTGGATTGTATGAGTTAGAACTGGGAAATGGCTAATCCACATCTGAATTACCTAAAGCTGCAAGGCTGGGACTATGGCAAGGCAAGGGAGGCACATAGGATATAAAGTGTAAGGAGGCACTCACTCAGTCCTGGCCATGTAAAGCTGGCTAATGAATTACAGGTCAAATCTTTTTGGCACTTTATAAATGAAGAATTGGAGAGAATGAGGTAGGGCTGAGCCAAGACTGGCCCTTGGGCAGGACTCAAAGCTGGGATTCAGCCTCCTAGAAGACATTCAGGCTGAGGGCAGGAGCCAAGCACAAAGGTCATCAGAGAGCAGGAGATGCACGTTGTCAGGAAAGATGAACCAGGCTGGCAGCTTTAGTTATAAAGACTGCTCTGGCTGAAGAGGGGGAGTCAGGGTAACAAGCAAAATGGAGAGCAGCCAGTAGGGAGAGATACCCTATAGGGTTTGAGGAATCCTCTGCAGCACCTGGGGCCTGCAGGAAACCCAGTTTCTGTATGAACAGATGCTCTGACAAGGTGACTCCAGCTACATCAAGCCGTGGCACTCCCTAAACCATGCTAGAGGCAGGAATGTAAGGGATTTATTACAGTACTTATAGTAATCTGCTGTGTTTTCAAGGTCACTGAAAACTCCTGTTAGTGCATACAGGATTATAGGTTACAATTTAGTGGCTTAAAGAACAAGGGCTTTACAAGCTGGGTTTGATTCTAGGCTCTACTAACACCAGCTGTTTGACATTGGACAAATTAATGAGTCTCAGTCTTCCCATCCACAAAAATGGGCAAAATCAATGTCTTCCCAAAAAGACTGTTTAGAGGATTAAATAAATTGGGTCCATAGGAGGAACACACCAAATAGTGGTTCCTTTCATTTATTCAATTACATTTTCACTTGCCGTCTCCCTGAGGAAGTGTGCAGACACACAGCCAGGTCTCATGTTTAGGTTGTTTTGTGGTGGGTTTACTTATATTACCTTTCCCCAGCCCAGCTCCCCCACCGTTAAAATCCAACTTCTTATCATACTCAGGCTCTTGGGGAGGAGAAGATGCACCAACATTCTACTCTTTCTCTTCCTTTCCCGCTTACTTCTAGCAGCTCAAAGTACTGTTAGGCCTGCTCCTCTGTTTGATGGTAGATTTTTCCTTCTAGGGTTGATTCACACACAAGCCCTGGCAACCAATCTAGGGTCCAGCCCCTAGTAGATCAGTGTTGTCTCTCATAAAGCCAGTCTGCAAATATCACCTTGAATCCTACAGTCTGTAGAAGCCTCCAGTCTACTGCTTTCTAGCTCCAGGTTTTTTAAGGTCTTTGGACCTAGAGAAGAGGGAGCAGGTCTGTATGTTGAATGAGGTTTGCTATGTGCGAAATGGAGCATTACAAAACCATTTCCTACTATTCTGTGTCCTCCATCCAGTTCCCCTTTATTGTTTTTGTATCTTCTAAAAACCTGAAGGTAGGTATCCTGTGTCTCCAGAAGGGTAAGTTTTGCAGGGCTCATTGTCCTCAATGCTGTGCACCCAGAAGGAACTCAATCAGTACTTCTGAAATTGGCCAAGTATATAGATGGAAGGGTTTCCAGCCTCATGGGCTGGTTTGTAGGAGGAAAAGAATCCACGTGCTTAGGCCAATAGTTTATATTGCTAGTGTCTGGGGTTCTATGCAGGGTCTGTCAATCTTCTGCAGGAGGAAGCATTTCCCTATCCTCCCACCATCCTAGTCCTTACAGGCATCTACCCTTTGTCTTATGCCAGGCCTACAGGGACAGTTCTGCACGGCAGCTGAAGTTAATAACTTCAATAGGCTCAGGAAAGACTCAAGAGATTCGGCCCAAGCCCTTCTACAGAGGCTGCTCCAGGAGTACAGGGCAACCAGAGATCACACAACTATGTGTGAACCCAGCTCACAAAGCCAACTCAGAACCCAGATCTCCTGCCCATCCCACTGCCCTGGCAAGCCCGGCACCATTTCTCTGATACACACTGCTCAATGTCAGGCAACAGCCCACCCAGAGGTCTCCCAGAGGCTCCAAAGGCCTTTAAGACCCTAAATGGTTATTCTCTAAATAAGAATTTATATATTAAAGTTGACCCCTATAGAAATTTTTTAGGAAAACAGGGACCAGACTCCCTATCTTTTTCTTTTAAATCTCATCATGCAGTGTCAAGTCTTCCTCCTACCCTCAAAGGAGAGTCCTAACCTGGAATGCTATTGGGCTGGATCTCAGGAGAAATCTCTAGGGTCCTACACACACACCCCTCACTGATTGTGATCAGCATAGTGGGTGTGGGCCTTTACCTCCCACCACACCATGCTAAACTGCCAGCTATACTTTCAAAACTCAGGGCCCACATCTGGCAAATACCCACTCCTTCCCCACCCCTCACTGTGTGGGGCACACCTTGGCAACCAGACTGCTGTGTCTCGGAAGCGGGTTCCACCCAGGCTGAAAATCTCCGTGATCTAGAAAAGAATTAACACCATAGGTCAATGTGGTTGGTGGGGCTAAGGCAGGGTCAGGGCAGGATGGGACATCCCCAGCACTGACCACGGGTGTGCCAGCCCCTCCTGCCTCCTCCTCTGGGGCCAATTTGGAGGCAGAGTCATCCTTGTTCTCCTCCTTGTCCTCCTCAGGGTCAGGTGGCTCTTGCTTCACAGATGGCAGGCCTTGGTCTACTGCCTGGGAGAAGTGGGAAACAGGCAGCTATTAGAAGGGCAGAGTTAGCCTGAGGAAAGTCTCTATCAGTCAACCCCTCACTGTGCCAACAAATCCTATTTCCATCACATTTCAACACAGTAATATCATTTCTCTGCTTTTAAACCTTTCTGATTCCTCACTGACCTCTGTTTTTCTGTTAGCTGGGCAGCAAAGCGGGCAAAGCTAGTTGCCTGTAGGGGGTAGGGTGTCTGTTAGACAGGCGGGGTAATTCTGCAGAAAGGTCGCAATCAGCACATCTATTGCTCTGCTCAAAAGAACCATCATGGCTCAGCAGCACTCTGCTTACAGACCACCCTGCTACAGCACCAACAGAACATCCATCACTGCCCCCACCTTGCTAGGGCAGCCAGGCACCAATACGGGAGAAGTCAGGACAGCTGTGCCTGGTGTCCACTCGTCCTGGGTATCCGCCTTCTCTTGCTTCACCTGGGGTAAGGCCACAACCCAACTCAGGCCAGAGCACTGGGCCTCCTGCGTGAGGGAGGATTGCAGCAGACTTGGTCTCAGGTTCCTGTCATGAGGCTAGGTGGGGCTGGGAAGGGAAGGACAGGGTGGGGCCCTCACCTGCAACCGGGCTTCCGTGGAAGCTGCAACAGGGCCCGGCACCTGCACAGGACTGCTTGCGCCCTCCCGTAAAAACACAAGGTCAGTGCCAGGCGGAGGCAGCACAAAGCCACCACCTGCTTCCTGCTTCGATGAAGCCCGGGTATGGTCTTGTCGGGCTGTGCGTGTATCCAAGGTGGGCTTCAAGGTAGGGCCAAGATGGTGCCGTTGGGCAGAGCTGGGCCTCTTTCGACGACGGTAAGGTGGGGGCGATCCTGCCCCATCCTCAGACTCTGACCAGACACTGGGCAGCAGCCGCTTCTATGAGGAAAGATGGGGTGCTATGGCTACCTGGTGTCCTGACCAATCACAACCACCCTGCCCGGCTCCACATGCCTGCTAATCTCCCATCAGTCCCAGCACGAAATCTGCTAAATATGAGCCCTTCATCATTGAGCCTGCTAGTCTCCTATTAGCAATACAAATGCCACCTAGACTCATTAAACCAAGCGCAATGTCTGTTAATCCTCAACCAAAGCTACTGCCCCACCCACCCACCTACCATGCCTGCCCACCACTCCCAGGCACTGGGGCGCCTGGCCCAATCTATCCCGGCCACCTGACCCTTCCTGCCCCACCCACCATGGCAAACTGCAGGCACTGGCGCCAACGACACTTCTGGCGCTTCTGGTTGCTGCCCCCGAATTTGGGCTTGTCGCAGCAGAAGTCGCAGCGGCCACAGTCCATCCGCCGTAGGCAGGCTGCACAGGCCCCGCACTTGCGGTTCTGCCGGCGGTTCGTGTAGGGCTGCTGGGGTGGGGGGAATGGGTGGTGCTGTCACTAGGACTAGGAGAGGCCATCCTTAACGCCTATTCCAGTACTGGTCCTGGTGCTCCTCTAGCCCCATCAGAGGGAGCTACTTGCATACTAGTCTCAGCCTCCTAACTCCCTACTGGTCACTCCTCAGCATTCACTAGTTCAATACTGGCCACTATCACTGAGCCAGCTGGCCTTTGATATCATTAGGACTGTGGCTGCTCCACTACAGTATCCACTGCTGTATTTCCTAGGCCCCCACTAGCTACCAAGAAAATGTCTCTGACCCCCATTTCCAGCAGCATTTTGATAACTCTCTATTAGCTCCCATCCTTGTGCCTACTCTGTCTGCTCATCCTATGTGAACCCCAGTCACTGTGCTAGCTGCTCTTCTGTTGGTCCCATCAGTGTGTCTGCTAGTCCTACATCAGCCACCAGAGTGTTGGTACATGTAACATTAGGTATGTCATTCTACCTGCTGACCCCATATTAGTCCTCCATTATCTACCCATCCCATCCTAGGACCCATTACTGTGCCCTGCTGTTCCCCAATAGGCTCATTCCAGCATCTGTTTCTCTGAAGTTAACCAAGCATCCTGAGAGTCTAGGCTTATCCAGGTAGGGTGGGGCCACTCACTAGCTCGTCCTCGTCTACACAGTAATAGATGAACTCGGCAGGTGGCGAGGGGGCCAGGGCTCTGGGGTGCTGTAGAGGCAAATGGGGTGGGGGTCAGGGCAGGTACTGGGTAAGGTCAGGGTTGTGCCTTCCCGCCACCCACTGGGGCCTCACCGGCTCTGTGGGCTCGGGGGGCTGTGACGGTGGAGGTGGAGGCAGTGGCTGGGCACTGGGACGCCGCCTGGCAGCCATCTTGGAGTCACAGCCTCCCCTGCGGCGGCCATGTTTACCCTGGGAAAGACCAGAAAGGGTGGTTTCAGCTTGGTGGTACCAAGCAGACACAGGACCTCCCCACTCCCTAAGTGCAGAAAGCATGCATGGGACAGGCAGACACAGGGTGGGGTAAGGCACTCACAGTGGGGGGAGCCACAGTCAGGGGAGTGCGTCGCTGACATCTCTGATGACGGCGACGCAGGCGGTGAGCAAGATGCTGGCAGACAGGGGCAGATAGGTGGGGCCAGAAAGGTGAGCATGGGGTTAGGTAGAAAAGAAAGACATGAGGTAGGCAAGGCCAGGTTGGGAGGAAGCAGAGGCAGCAACAATTTTACCAGCAGAATGAGCTCTGTTCCCGCCAGCCTGACTCACCCGTAGGCAACGTCGCTGGACACATTTCCACTGGCGCCTGAGACCAGGGCGGGGAGGGCGAAGGCAGATGCGGCAACGGCCACAGTCCTCTTGGGTCTGACAGCCCCGGCAGACTCCACACCCTCGGCTCTGTTGGGGCGGGTGGGAGCGGAGGCATGAAGCATGGGGCCAAGCCCATGAGGGCCAGGGGCCGAGGTGAGCCTTGGGCTCTTTCCACTTGCCCGACTCACCCTTTCCACAATCCGGAGGCAGCGTCTCCGCTCACACTTGCAGAACAGCCCCGATGCCACATCATGGGGCAGCTGCAGGAGGCAGGTGGAGCAGGCCCCACAGTCTTCTGTTACCTGGCAGGCTGCACACTCCCCACAGCCCACACGCTGCCAGGAATGGTTGGGACGAGATCACGGGCCTGCTCCAGAAGCACTGGTCCTCCCATGTCTATTGACCCTATATCAGCTCCTGGCATTATTCTAGTCCCCCATTAATCTCATCACTATATCGGAGAATGTCTGGTTAACCACCATCACTGAGGACATTAGTATGTCTACTGGTCCCCTGTTAACTTCATCACTGTGTCTACTGGTGCAGTAATGGTAATGGGAATTAATTATCCCATTAATTCCCATTACTATGTCTGCTGACCTACAGACAGCATAAACAAAATGACTCTTCATCCTGTGGACCATCATTGTCCCTTCAGATCCTCTACCAGCTCCATCACATCCTGCTCCCACTGTAGAGCTGTGATGAGGAAGCAGGTTGTGCTTACCTTAAACATTCTTTGTTCCCGGTTGAAGGCAATTCTCTGTGCTGTGGGGAGGAAGAAGGAAGAAGAAAAGTGGAAAGTAAGCAACAGACATCTGACTTCATTCCCTGCCTGTGCCCTGACTTCCACTATTCAACCTCTTCCCATGCCTGCTATCTCCAATATCCAACCTCCAACTTCCAACCATGCCAGCAGCCTCTGTCCTGGCATCCACATTCAACCCCTGGCCTAGCATGACATTGAACCTGCTCCAGCTCCTATCTCCCGATGCCCCATCCTCTGGCCGTCACTCACCTCGGCAGTCTTTGCACAATGTTTTGAGCCGCTGTCTTTGGGTGCCATCCCCTGAGAAGCTGATTCCACAGTTCTCACAGCATCTGGGATGGGAAAGACAGGTGTGGGGCTCCAAGAGCACCCCCAATCACCACCCTCACCCATCTGGCTCACCTTAGACCAACACTCACCCAGGAGCAGGGAATGAAGCTGGGACTGTGACAGTGTCAGCCTTGGTCTCATCCTTTGGGGCCTCTTTCCTGACCTCACCACTCTGGGGTCCAACCTGACGTTTCCTGACCTCGCCACCCTGGGGTCCAGCCTGATGTTTTCGAGTCTTGGATGGTCTGGAAGGCTTCTTTTGCTTCTTGCTGGTGACAGCCACGGAATGGGCCTGGAGAATAAGGGGAGGAGCAATGTGGATCAGTGGGTGGGTGTTGGGTGGCACAGCCACCCCTACATAGGCATCTCACGTTGTGAAGTACCTTGGGGGCTGGATAACACAAGATGCCTTGTTTGAAGTCGAAGAGGGAGAGATCACACGCAGGGCCCAGGTATCGAGTCAGCTCAACTTTGCTTCGGATCCTGTCTCCTGTGGGGCTAGGGATGGGCCATGATGGGTTAGCACCTAGGTGGAGCCAATGCCATTTCACCTACACAACCTTCTGACAGGGCTGGTAGGATACAGGAGACAGACTGGAATTGGCCTGTGAACCCTGCCCAGGCCCACCTCAACTAATCTTGAAAGCAAAAAAATTAAATAGCAAGACATATACAAATGCCACAAACAATATAAATGTAAACAGATAAACATATTCATGACATATAATACTAGTAATATTTAAACTATTTCACATAAACAAAAATAAATACAAGTAGAAACACAAATATATTAAATAACACATAAACATGTTAGCATTATGTATCAAGTACATAATCAAGTAAAGAAAACACAAATATGTTTTTAAAACATATAAACAAATGCAACCACAAACAAATTAAAATATAAGTAATTGATTTTGGGACCCATGGGTTTCTTGCATTTCTGTATGCCCTGCAAGAAAGGCGCTGATTGTCCTTTTTTTATAAACTATCTTTCCAAGGATGTCTGTAAAGCAAACAACCTTGAAAAATAAGAGATAGGGTCTCCTTCCATAGCAAAGGAAAAGCATATTTACTGTCCTAATATTATAAAAAACTTGATTCCCTAAGCTCAGGGTTCTTTTCCTATAATACTAATACAACCCTACATGACTAATTCATGTCATGCTGTAGAAACTGTAATTTAGAAAGTTGGCACAAAAATAGTAATACAGTAATCTCCCTTCTCCTGCAGGGGATACATCCCAAGTTCCCCAGTGGATGCCTGAAACCATAGACAGTACCAAACCCTAATGCAATATGTACTATGTTTTTTCTATCTGATAACTGAGATGGTTACTAAGAGAGTAACAGTCAGATTGTGTATACAGCATGGCTATGGATTTGGATATGGATATGGATATGGATAAAGAGATGATTCGCATCCTGGCCAGGACTGAGCGGGATGGTGTGAGATTTCATCACACTACTCAAAATGGCATGCAACTCAAAACTAATGAATCGTTTATTTCTAAAATTTTCCATTTAATATTTTTGGATGGTGGTTGACTGTAGGTAACTAAAGCTATAGAAAATGAAACTGCAGATAAGGGGGTACTACTGGATTCTGGATTCTGCAACTGTTGTAATAAACTGTCTTTCATCTGTGGCCCAGGAGTCTTATCTCTCCTACCAGCATCCACAAAATTCTGACAAATTCACTATTATCTTGTCCTAAGAATGAAATCTCAGATCATTTACAGTTCTTGACAACTGTACTTTTAAATTTTGAAAGTTTTATACAAGTACATAAATATATGAATAAATTATAACTAAATATAAACAAAAAGTAATTTGTAATTTGATATTTACGTGGAAAAATGGCAACTTAGATTTAAAAAATCAGAAAGAATATAGAAACTTAATATTTAATGTATCCTAAACACATGTAAATACTTATAAACATCTATGCTGACTCTCATTATTTATGGTAGTTATATTCTACAAAGTTGCTGTGAACATTGAATACGAAACCATTGCTCCTACAGGAAATACAGGGTTAGGTTCCTGAGAGCATTTGGTCCATTTTTGTTAACTAAGAATATATAACTTTTGTCTTTTGTGTGTTTCTGTTTAAAGACACATTATTTAATATCTATTTTTTACAACTGATTTTTGCATGGTCTTTTAATGATTCCAACCAGGAGCTTTGGATGCCTATGTGTTCTGTAGGTTTGTTTGCCAATATTCTTGTTTAATAAACCCGTCTTGGCATTGAAAACCACTCTTCTACATAACCCTCTTCCTGTATAACACTTAACAGTATTTTTAAAATTCTGCGGAAGACTCCTGATCAGAAGGACCTGTATTGGATCCAAGTTTAACATTTTTCATGCCATGTCACCTTTTGAAATGCGCAAGTCAGCCAGCACTACCTGATATAACTTTAATATTTTCCTAACCCAGGGTAACGTGAGTTTGGCTTTCCTCACCAATGCTGTCCACGATGCATTATTGATCATCATTTCATGAATCCACCAATGTAACTGTTTTCTCATCTTTTTCACAGCTTCAAGACTATGAATGCTTTCTGTACTTTCTGAAGCAGCCTCATAGACAGATTGGCAAATTTCCTTCTTTTTCTGGTTGTACCATATTTTTTGATGTGTAACATTGAACTTGCAGCCAACAGCATTGTAACTCATGTACGAAAAAGGTTTATCTACTTGTATTTTTTCCATAAGAAACGACAGCCTTCTCACACTCAGGACACCAAACAGCACCTCAGCACTATGGTTGGGGACCATTTTAAAAAACAAAATCACCAACAAAAAGTACAAAAATTGGAAAAATGTGACACTAAACACACCATGAAAAGAACACTTGTTTACAGTATTAAAGCTGAAACATGTCCAGGCACAGTGGCTCACGCCTGTAAAATCCCAGCACTTTGAGAGGCAGAGGCAGGCAGGTCACCAGAGGTCAGGAGTTCAAGACCAGCTTGACCAACATGGAGAAACCCCATCTCTACTAAAAACAGAAAAAATTAGCCTGGCATGGTGGCGCATGCCTGTAATCCTAGCTACTCAGGAGGCTGAGGCAGGAGCATCCGTTGAGCCCAGGAGGCAGAGGTTGCAGTGAGCTGAGATAGCGCCATTGCACTCCAGCCTGGGCAACAAGAGCGAAACTCTGTCCTAAAATAATAATTAAAAAAACTGAAACAAAAAGAGCTCCTTCAGCCTCAGCTAGAAACACAGGCAATGAGTGACAGCTTTTCACTGCTCTGTGCATGTCCTTGAATAATCACAAATGCACTGAGTTGTGACTTTTAAATTACAAATAAATTTTAAGTAGGTGAAATTGCAAACATAAAATCCGCCAATAATAACAATGAACTGTATATGCATAATTAAAACTGTATATGCATAAATTTAACCACACTATTTGATTTTGCCCTAATCAGGTTTTACCCTACTCCTGACTCTGCCCACAACCCACCCAGTACCTCTGGTAATAGGTGTCTGAGCGTCCGCAGGTGGCCCCTGACTTGCGAAAGACTTCACGGCGCTTCCAGCCAGGGCCCAGGGCTGGGCAGTCCAGCCAGTCCTCAGCCATGGAGGCCACCGGAAGCAGCAGTAGCCTGAAAGGGGGTGGAGGGGATGAGGGAAATTGAGGCTCTAGTAAGGGACAAAACTGTGCCTCAGGCCACACAAATCACTGGTATCCATTAGTGCTTGCCCAAGACCTAGGATCTGCCATCCCATTCTTTCCTATTCTGGGCCTAAGAGATTCTCATTCCTCAACCCAAGGGGCCCCATTTCTTATTCTCAGTGTCCTAATTCCCTATTCCTCTCTATCCTTGGACTGACATCCCATCATTTCTCCTCACTGCCAGTCCACAAACTTTCCATCCTTTTCCCTTATTCCTCCCTGTCATTGACCTAAGTGCCTCTATTCCTCTATTTTATCACCCCAAGACCCCTATACTCCCCATCCTCAAGCCCCAAAAGGCCCCATTTCTCTTGCTCTCACTACTTGACTTCAGTAGTCTTTCATTCCCCCTTCCTTGACCCAGGAGTTCCTAATTTCCCTCCTTCAGTATTTTAACCATTCCATTCCTTCTTTGTCTGATGTCCTCTTATCCTGCTATCTTGGTGTTACAACCTCGACTTCCTCTGCGAGAGACACAACTGCTCCAACCCATGGCCTGAACAGCTCCTCATCTTTTCCATTCCTCACACTGGAAGCCTCCCATGCCTCCCCTTCCTCAGCCCAAGAGCTCCCCACTTATTTTTCTTTTCCTTCGATGTTCTGACCCACGATTTCTCCCCAGTGTCAGCCCCCAAACCTTCCTGTTTCTCTCCTCTACAGCCAAAAAGTTCCCCACTTTTCCCCTTCACTGTTCTCATCCTCCGTTCCTCTTTCATCATCTTGAGAGACCCTAATTTCTCCCCTCAGCATTCCGAACCCTCCCCCATTCTCTGTTCTTGTCCCAGGATCACGCCATCCCTAACTGTCAGCGTCCTGATCTCCTACTGCTCCTCGTCCTCTATATGGGGCCCCCATCCCACCCTCTCAGCATTCCAGCGCTTCCATTTCTCCTGTCATCAGCCTGAGGGCCCCTCATTTCTCCGTCAGAGTTCTGAACCCCTATTTCTCTCTCAACTTCAGATGCCCTGATGTCTCCCTTCAGCATTCTGAACTCCACCATTCCACCCCGTCCTCACCCCAGGATCTCGACACTCCTACCTGTCACAATTCTGAGCTCCATTCCTTCCCGTCCTCAGCCTAAATCCCCCCCATTTCTCCTCGTCAGTATTCCGACGCCGCCATTCCTCCCCCTCATCGGCCTGAGGGCCCTCCATTCCACCCCGTCAGCGTTCTGAGCCTCAATTCCTCCCCATCCTCCTGAGCGCTCTCCACGTCCAGCCCCAAGGCTGTCTCACCAGTCTGGCACCAGACCGGTATCTTCCGCAGCTCTAGGCCCGTGGACCCAAGGCGAGGGTCCCTCCTGCGCCTTCCGCCTCGCCCTCCTCCCCTTCTTCCTCCTCTGCGGCCGCCTCCTCTGCTGCGGTAGCTGTCGCCTCCGCCGCTGTTCGTTGTTCCCGGAAGCGGAAGCCCGCTGCCTACCTCTCGGGCTCCGCCTCTGGCGATGCACCTGCGCGCTAATGCCTCGACGGCGCGTGCCCTTAGTAGGGAGGCTCCTGCGCCTGCGGACTAGCGCTCGGCAGCGGTGCACGCGCACCCTGCCAGGAACGAGTTGCATCTGCGTGCTGACATTTAACGGCAGCTCGCGCCCAATCGAAGGACCAGGAGCCGCGGCGCCCCTCGCTTCCTCTCTGGCGTGCGCATGCGCTCTCCAGTCTAACCCGAGGGGAAGTGGTCGGGGAGGGCTTGCGCCTGCGCCCTGCGTTTCCTCCGGCGGTCTCCAAAGCGGATGCGGACGGCGGCAGGAAAGCTGGTTCACGCCTGCGCGCTCCTTGGCCCAGCCGGCACTGTACTCTCCCACCTCTCGCTGGGGTTGAGCCTGTGCCTCCAGGTCTCTCCGAACATCAACCCCAGGGCTGTCGTGTCCCGCTCTCTCCTCCCCGCTGAACCGCTGCAGGGGCACGCAGGCCGGGGAAGGGGGCGGTGCCGCTGCACCGCAGGTAAACTGAGGCACGCTGGAGGGCGCGCCCCTGCGGATCGTCAACATGAGGCTTGTGGGGAAAGAGCGGGGCCTGGCGTCCACAGCGGACGACAGCTCTGGGTGGGAGACAGGAGCACGCGCGGGCGGTGTCACCACACTGAATGCGCGTTGCGTAGACCCTATGCCCGTGGGAGGCTGGGAATGTGGGTCCCTGGGCTCTTTCCGGGTGCAGGCGCCCCCATCTTATCCAGGAGTTTGGAACAGTTGCAACCGCAGCAATGTGAAGACAGCTTCCTTAGTTTCTTCAAAATTTTATTAACAAAACCCAGGGAGGGGAGGCAAGAATGAGTGGACTCCGCAGCCCCACCAGGCACTGAACATGGAGACAGGGAAAAACCCTCTGATAAAGGCAGACGGGCGGTCAACCGGTGGATGGGCACAGGGAGAACCAGAGAAACTGATGAGTGGAGGAACGGACACGGGCACCAGGCGGCTCCCCCATCTGGAATGCAGGGTGTGAGGGGTCCAGGCCAGGAGGCTCAGCGGTCGGCACTGGAGCGCAGGTCGGTAGTGAGGGGGTCGTGCTGGATCGTCTGGTGCAGCATCAGGGCCAGCAATCCCGCGCGGTTCGTCATGGCTGTGCGCACATTGCGCTCCTGCTCAAACAGCTCGTCCAGCTTGTACCACTGCCAAGGGAGCGGCAGGAGTCCTGAGCAGGCACTCCTGAAGTCCCGACTGCCCTCGGCCACATCCGGCATGGACACCTACCACATGCAGCACCGAAACCACACGGAAACCTACCACACGCACGCGCTCCAAGTCCACTTCTGCACGCCGCAGCTTCTCCCAGCAGTAATGGCGATTGCACTGGCGCTTGGGCAGGCGGCAGAAGTCACCTGTGAGCTCAAAGACATCACGTACAAGGGGGCACCCGCATACCTCATCGGCTGGCACCTGCAGGGGAGCCGGGGCGGGGATGAACAGCGGTGATAAGGGAGAATAGGAATGGGGGTTCAAGGAGGGAGAAGGGAAAGAATGGAGGGTTCAGGGGATGGTGAGGAGGCATGAAAAAGGGGAGGAATGGAGAGTGAAGCAGCAGGGAAGGTGAGAGGAAAAAGTGAAGGAAAGGTTAAGGTGAAGAAGGAAGGGATGAATGTGGGACAGTGAGGCAGGGAAAAGGGGCAAAATAGGGGGAGCTGAGGGAAAACCTTACTTTGGGGTCCCGTGAGTGCTCGGGGCACAGCACCTGGAGCCGCTTACAGTATGTTTTACTCTGAGGATTATAGACATCACAGAAGAGTCGTGTAGCCCTGGAGGTTTGGAGTAGAGAGAGGGTAGTGGAGGGAGGGAAGAGAGGCCCACCTGTCCTTGCTGGTGCCCATATCCTGCCCCAGCGCCACACGCATCCCAGTTCTGACCCCCGCCTTAACCCCCCACCTGTCACTCCACATGGCACCTTCACTTACCCTTCAATGCGTGTGGGGTACATGGACCCAAAGGACGTCTGGCTCTCATACTGGAGGGATGAGCACAAATGGAGGGAACTGTGGATGTGCACTGCATGCCCTCCCAAGACACCACCCAGACAACAAATCTGTCCCCCACTGGCCCGCTGATGTCCCCACATGGTCCGCCCCCTCAGTCTGACACACCAACCTTGGCATAGCAGCGCTCCATGTGGCGCAAGGCAACACGTGGGTTGATGGGGTGCCCACAGGAAACACAGAAGATCTGCAGGTCTGTGTCATCACTGTCACCCTCATTGCTCTGCATGGGGTGGAAGAAACAGTAAGGATGGGCAGGACAAAGTACTGGGCCCTGCCCCACTGCTCCCCTGCCTCACCTCCTCATCCTCGCGCACAGCCTGCTGCTTGGCACGCAGAATGATGGCCTCAAGCTCATGGAATCGGCGTTCCATTTCCTGAAGGCGAGTGCGGGCACTCTGCTGCTCTCGGCGAATGCGTTCGAGCAGCTTCTTGCCATGCTCTTCAGCAATGCAAGGACTCTGCTGCCACTGCTGGATGCGCTGGGGGAGGATCTCGTAGATGCGGCTACAGGAAAGGTGGCAAGCAACAGAACGAGTGAGGTGATCAGTAAGTGAGGATGGCAAAATAGATGCATGACTAAATGGCAAATGGAGAAGTAAATAGGTGACTAGTAGAATGGTGGATGGATGGACACATGGGCAGATGGGTGGGTAGGTGGTTGGGTTGAGTGGGTAGTGGCTGTTTGGTGACTGAATGGTGGATAGTTGATTGACTGGTAGACAACAGAAGGCTGTGGTCAGGCCCTACCATGTACTTCCTAACTCCCTTGAACCCCTCCCCCAGGAATGACTCACTTGGCTGCCAGCTTCATGCCACAGTCATCTGAGCAATACTTGGAGCTGGGCTGGGCGGGGCGCACACAGCCGGGCCCCAGACACTGAGGCAGCGACGCAGGGTCCTTGGCATCGTTCCTCTCTGGGTGTTTCCATTTATCCTTGTGTTTCTGCTTCTGCCGATGCCGCTTGTACCGCTCCTCCTTCTGTGGAGCAAGACAGGTCAGGTCAGGGTGGAGTCAGTCAGCCCCAGACCTGTCTCCTGCTCCATTCCAGCCCTTTCTGGCTCTTGCCCCATTCAGCCTCTGAGCACTGCCTCTCCCTCAACCCCACCCTCTGCCTTTCCACATCCATTTTACCCACTCCATCACCTTCTTCTCAGACTTCTTCTCCCGACGCTTCACATGCTTCACTTTCACTGCCCTCTTCCGCAGCGCGGGGTCCAGGAACGGGGACTCTTCTGTGTCGCTCATCCAGGGCTGCAAGCAGGGCATGCACTGACCCACCTGCCCCTCTCATGACAACCCCACCATCTACTCATGTCCCAAATCTACCCTCTGTCTCATTAGGGATACTCTCTGCTTCTGTCACCTCCACCCTTCCACCAGGGGATGTTCCTGTCTGCTCACCAGGCCGTGGTCATCAAAGGCCCCTGCACAGAAGTCCTGATACAGGTCAGGATCCAGAGGTAGGTCCTCATCTGAGAGTGGCTCAGGTGTGGCTGTAGCCTCAGGAGGCTCCTTGACTGCTGATGACGCCACTGCCCCCTCATCTTCACGCATGCGCCCTAACTTCTGTGACGGTTGTGGCTGCTGCTGGGTGGGCAGTGGCCGGCGGGGCCTTGGCAGGGACTCTGAGGGCGTCACTGGCGAGAGCTGCAGGGCAGAATCTCAGGACTGGCCCTGACCGCCCTGCCCGCATGCCCCGCCCTGCCCTGGGGGGCTGGACTCACCGAGGAAGGGAAGTACTTGTACGATTCCTGTGCCGGCAGGAGGAAGGCCCAGGTCAGCCCCAGGTGGATGGAGTGTGGCCTTGCCCTAGCCCCACCCACCTGGCCTGGCCTTGCCTCCCCAGACATAGCTCCCCGCTACCCCTATTACCAGGATATGCTCAGCCCTGCCTGATCCTCACTGACATGCATGACCACCTGGAAACACCTGGCCCCACTCTGTCCACCCAGGGTTAGTGGGGTTTCTGCCAGCCCAGCATACCTGGTCATGCCCCATTCATCTGGACATGACAGGCCCAATCCCACCTAGCCCATGCCTAGACTTAACTAACCCTGCATGGACCCACCAGCTCTCCCACACCTGACCCTGCCCAGCTCTGTCCACGCTCACCCGGGCCCGCAGCTGGCACTGGCGCAGCCGGCACTTCTGCCGAATCTTGTTGGGGCCTCCAAACTTTTTCATGTCCCGACAGAAGTCACAGTGACCACAGTCCTCAGTGCGCCGACATGCCTCGCACTCACCACACATGCGGGCCGATCGTTTGATCTGCTGCTGCTGATGATGATGCTGGAGGAAGGGGCCCAGAACAGAAATCATGGACCCAGGAGGGGCCGACATGGAACCACTTTACACATCCACTCACTTTATACAGCCACTCACCTGGCTGGGTGTGGCCACCAAGGGCTGCGGAGAGGATTTGTGGGGTGAAGCAGAGCCCCGAGCAAGCATGGCCCCAACCCCTGTCCCTGACCCTGCCCGGCGCTGCAGGTCGGGATCCGGGACAGGCCTCTTGCGCCCTCCACCCTCATCCCGGGGCTCACTGCCGTCCCGCTCATTGCCATCCCGCTCCCGTGACTTCTTGTGCCGATAGCGAATCTCTAGCTTGGGGTCCTTCTCTGTGGGGCAGAGAGTAGGGCTAAGGTAAGCACTGGAGGGCGTGAATGGTCCCAAAACCTCTTTATTCCCCTTCTCTCCCTTACTGTCCTACTTACCTACTCTGCACCTCTGTACACGACAGAGCTGCCCCTTCCCGTGGGATCTTCTATTACCACTCACAATGCAGCCCCCATTCCAGCTCACCACAGACATGTGTTACTACTCCCCATTATCCCCCACTGTGGCTCTCCCTCCTCCCCTGAAGCCCCACCTGCCTTCCTTGTCCATGCATGACCCTCACCTCGGCACTCCCGACAGTACCACTCCCGGATGGCCTTGGCCATCTTCTCAGTGATCCGGATGCAGTCCCCATGGAACCACTCATTGCAATTGTCACACCCGCTGCAGAGGATGGGACAGGTGGTGAATATGTAAGGGGCACAGCCGATCGGCCTTACTACCCCACCCTGCCAGTGTCAGCCCCGCCCACCTCTCCCGGGCTCACATCATGAAGCAGTTGATGTCTGGTTTGCGGCAGATGCAGTAAATGGGCGCATTCTCCCCATTCTCCGACTTGCTGTCCTCCCCGGCATCTGGAGGCTCTGGGTCTGAACCATCACCCTCCTGCGGGACACCCCCATTACGGCTCCTTAAACAGCCCCCACCGTGGCGGCTCATCCCCGCGTTACAGCTCCACCACGGTCAGCACGGATCCCCACCCTGCCTGCAGATTTCCCATGGGAGCCCCCAAAAAGCCTCTCCACCACAGTCCCTACTGACTCCCATTACTCGGCTTCATACTTCCCATCACGCACCCACCGGCACCCCCTCCTTGTCTACACTCACTGGCGGGTCATCGAGACCCAACATCGTGGCGCCTCACAGACCCCGCCTAACTCACTCCTTGAACTTCCCATCACGGTTCTCCACTCATCCCTCCCTGTTTACCTCACAGACCCTCCCGGCACCCGCACCCCCAGTCTCAGCTGTCTACGGATACTCGGCCGCGGACTCTTCCTCATCACGGCTCACCACAGACCGCCCAAAGCGATTCCTCACAACCTCCTTATCCCTCTGCCCAAAGAACCCCCGATCGTGGTTTCCCACGGAACTGCGGGGTACCCGGAGTCCCCACTAAACTTCTATTACGGATCCCCACCGTGGCTCACCATAGAACTCCCAGATGGTTCATCATTCTGCCCATAGACTCCCGCCGTTCTGTCCACAGACTCCGATTACCGCTCACCACAGACCCCCGAGTCGGCCGACAGACCCCAAGGTTGCCAACCCCACCGACCTCCGCCGCCGAATCCCTCGCTGGACGCGGTACTTACCATATCTCCGCTCCCGGCGCACTCCTTCACGACCCCCGCTGCGACCCGCGAACCTACACAGACCCCCTCAGCAGCGTCCCAGGCGGTTGCAAAGGCGCCCACAACTACTTCCGCTTCTGGTCACGCCTCCCAGGCAGCGTACTCCTATTGCGCAGGCCCCGTGCGCCGTCTCCGCCACCAACCATTAGGCGCCGCCATCTTGATTACGTATCCGTATGGTGGCCGGATCCATACGATCGGCGGGAACATGGCTGCGCTCACATCGTGGCTTTCGCAAGGGGGCCGCCACCTTGTCAGTAGAGTCCGTACGGTGGCTGCTGGTACTGTCTCGACGTACAGGCAACATGGCTGCATCTACTGCGTGACTTCCTCACAGATGCCGTCATGTTGGAATCTGATTCCGTACATGGGTCGAATTAGTACGGTTCTAGAAGACACATGGCGGCGACCTAATTGCGGATTCCTCAACGGCGCCGCCATCGTGATGGTTGATTACGTACACTGGCCGCTTGTCAGAGAGATTCACAGATAAAGCTGCCGCTCCCGAAACGCTACCTGGATCAAGTCTTATTCATTCCTCCATTCAGTCTCTTTCTCTATCCACATGCTTTAATGAGGCGTCGACAGGCTACATGCCTTACGCGGTGGAGGAAACCACTTCTGTCGTCTCCGACTTCACCTTTCCGGGTTTCACTCCTCCCACTTGTCATTCTACTGCCGGGCCTGACACGGTTCAGCTTCTGTTTATTTTATTTTTATTTAAAAACAATTCTTAAACTAACATCAAATCTTATTTTAGTTCTATAAGCTGCACAATAAGCCTAAGCACAGTTTACTTACCCATTTCTTTGTTGCTTAGCATTTATAACATTTTCAAATGTTATTCTAAATAAAGTTGCAACGAACATTCTTAAACATAGATAGGTATGCTCATCCCTGATTATCTCTTGTGAAATGTGATATACAAAACGGTGTTACTCTGGTTAAGAGCTATAAAATGGAGCTTGGAATGCTTTCTAAGGACTCCCTGCAAACTTGCAAAAAGGAAAACAAACCAAAACTAAAACACAACTGGAATTTGCCTCGAACTCTTGCATTGGTCCAAACTGCAAGGACCACACAGTCCTGGAAACCAGCTATATTTCACCAGTGCTGCGTCTCCTGAACAAAAACCAATGAACTATAGACTCATGCTGGCCAGCTGCCTCCAGCAATAATAATTCCTTTAAAAGAACTTGTGTAATCACCCTTAGTTTCCTTTTTATTTTTCTTAAAAACTCCTACTCCCCTTTCTCTCTTTGGAGCACAATCTGACTTCGAGCTGAATCTGGGTCTCCTGAATTGCAGTTCCTATGCCCCAATAAACTTCTGCCTTGCAGCTTGGTCTCTTGCCTCTTCTTAGTTGACACTCCTTAGAGATAACATTCTAAAAGTAGAATTACTTTATAATTGACTATAAATATTATAAGACATGTTAAAATTTATCAGAGGCCATTGGTTTGGACAGAGGTCCTGCAGGAGGCCCCAACAAAATGGAGTCACCCACACTACAGTTTCATGCCACCAAGCCAAAACTAAATTATCTGACCTTCCAAGAAATCAGGAGAAAGATACAGAATAATAGCTAAATCCCCAAACGAGCCACTTTTAGCTTGAAAATCCCCTCTGCTTTAACCCTTTTTTAAAAAGTAACCTGAAGCAACCTGATGTTAACCAGATTTTTTAAAACAATTGTTCTTTTTCCTCGCTCCCACCTTACAAAATTCACTGTTCTGCTGTTTCCCAGGGGAAGCTCTCATTCTATTTTGTATAATGGGATCTGCTCCAATTAATGAATTGCAAGTAAAAGCTATTACATCTATAACTAAATTTGTTGTAATTTTGTTTCTTGATGGTTGATACATATATTTCTACTAGCGGTGTATGAAGATTCCTATATTAGAGCCTTATTAGGTTATTAGATTAGTGCAAACTTTTGTTGTTGTTGAGAAGGAGTCTCTCTCTGTTACCTAGGTTGGAGTGCAGTGGGCAATCTCTGCTCATTGCAACCTCTGCCTCCTGGGTTCAAGTGGTTCTCCTGCCTCAGCTTGCCAAGTAGCTGGGATTACAGGCAGGTGCCACCACACCTGGCTAATTTTTGTATTTTAGTAGAGATGGGTTTTCACCATGTTGGCCAGGCTGGTCTCAAATTCCTGACCTCAGGTGATTTGCCCGCCTCAGCCTTCCAAAGTGCTGGGATTACAGATGTGAGCCATCGAGCCTGGCTCACACTTATCACACTCAGGTTCCTAGAGAATCATCAATCGGTGCACCAGTTTTCTAATCCCAATCGCAAGTGATCCACCCACCTCAACCTCCCAAAGTGTTGGGATTACAGCCGTGAGCCACCGTGCCTGGCCAGTGCAAACTTCTAAATTCATCACCCCTGTCAGTAAAAAATTGTCAGCATCCACAGCCATTTTATAAATACTATACATTACCATACTAATACAGTGCAAAAATAAGCAACCACATAAAATACATATTTAAATGGATGAGGTAAATATAAACGTCTCTCATATTTTCTCAAACCCCCATCTCCATGTGAGATGCTGCCCTTGGGGAGCTCCCAATTTACACTATTGGTGCTCACTTTGATCTGTGTGCAGTCTGGGATGGATATGATGAAGCAAATGAAGATTAGTATTATGTCAAACAGTAAATTTTTCATAAGTCTAGCTTGATGATGATGGTAATAGTCATAATTTCAAAAACCTTCTATTTGCTTAGTGGTTTATAGTTCACAAGATACTTTCACACATGACAGCGTATCTGACCTAAGTGCCTTATATGGTGAATGGAGCAGGAGTGTTATCGTCCCCACTCTACAGTGAAAGCAATTGAGACTCAGGGAGCCTAAGTCCCTTGCCAGGTCACACAGCCAGTGATAATGGATCTGACAGTAATAGTAAAATCTTTCTACTATGAGTGCTAGGCTCTGAGCTGAAATCAGGGCATAGACTCTGGGTACTCCCAGGACGAGAGAAGCTAGGTGAAAAGGTTCATGAGGCAACCACAGAATGGAGCAGATTCTGAAAGTTAAGGGTCACAGTGGACTTGAGTCAGGAAATGGATCAGAAGTCCAGGGGATCAGACACCCCAGGAATCAGGATTAGAATCTTAGGCAGGAGAACAAACAATACAGAATGAGGAACCAAGTACAGGATCTCAGCACAGGCGGGGTTCACAGGAATGGGAAAGGAGAGCCCAACTCTACCAAAGATTCCCGGGAGCGGAACGCAAGTCTTCCAGGCACTTCTTGCAAACAGCAAGGATAAGATAAATATTTGAAATTCAATGACAAAACCATGCTTAGCACTTCAATTCTAATTTGCCAGCAAGCACAGACAAAATCAGGACTGGAATCATTGACTGATGAATACAAGTTTTGCTTTCCGCAGTTTTACTTACCCATGGTCAAGCATGGTCTGAAAATATTAAATAAAAAATGTCAGAGGGCTGAACTCAGTGGTTCATACCTGTAATCAGCACACTAGGAGGCTGAAGAGGGAGGATCCCTTGAGCCCAGGAGTTCAAAACCAGCCTGGGCAACATAGCAAGACTTCATCTCTACAAATAATAAAAAATTTAGCTGGGCACTGTAGCACGTGCCTGTGGTCCCAGCTATGCAGGAGGCTAAGGTGGGAGGATCACTTGAGCTCAGGCAGTCGAGGCTGCAGTAAGCCATGATTGCATTACTGAACTCCAGTCTGGATGACAGGAAGATCCTGTCTCAAAAAAGAAAGAAAGAAACAATTCATAAGTTTTAATTTCCCTGCCATTCTGAGTATTGTGATGAAATCTCATACCATGCCATTCCATTCCACCTGGAATGTAAATTATCCCTTTGTCCAGCCTATGTACCTGTTCCATTTAGTTGAATTCTGTTTTTTTTTAAACCAGTCCGAAAATCATTCTATTATAAAGACTATTAAATTCATTTACTGACATTGATATAATATTCAAATAAACCCAAAATTGGCTTTAAAAATCAGGGCTCAATTTATCTGTAGATGCCTAGAGTCAGTGTGGATTAGGTAGGGCAGGGCTGGGGTGGGGAGGGAGCAGAGTAGCATAGCAGAGGGCTAGGTCCTATTGAGTTAGAACTGGGAAGTCACCGTGCCATATCACAACGGTCTAAAACAACAGACTGTGTGCCTCTAGTCTTTCTGGCATCTTGTGAATGTGGGAGGCAGGGACTAGGTCAAGACTGGACCTTGGGCAAGAATTAAAATTCTTCACTCTCCAAATGGACATAGGGGTCCAGAGCAGGAACCACGCCTAGATGTCGTTCAAGTGCGGGTAACTTGAGTAAGGAACATGGAGAAGCCAGGATGGGTGACAGTGGTGCTAACAACCACTTTGGCCCAGGGGAGAGACTGGACTTGAGAATAAGCAAAAGCAGTAGCCAGTAGGAAGGATATCTTTCAGAGCCTGGGCCATTCTATGCAGCATCCCTAGTCTGGAAAGGACCCAGACTCTGGATGGAAAGAAACTGTAGGTCTCTCATGAGGGTGATGTCCATTCAGACACAGCCTCAGAATTTGCTGAAACATGCCAGAAATGTAAGACCAAGGGATTCTATATCTATCTTATGTTTTCAAGGACACTGAAATATTCTGTGACTTCTAAGACTTAAACTATTAAGTCATAGTTTTTAGAAGTATATTTTACAGTTCATGGCTTCAAAAACAAAGTGTTACAGCTTGGATTTGAGTCTAGGCTCTACCAACACTAGCTACTTGACATTGGACAGTCTTTGAGACTTTTTTCTCATCCACAAAAATTGGCAAAATTAACATCCTCCTAGAAAGTCATCTGAGAGAATAATATTAGGTCCAGAATGGGCACTCTCCAAAGAGTGTCATGCAGTAAAAGATTAACTCAGCAGGCCTTGAATGTTCAAACCTTCACATTAAAAAAAAAAAAAAATCTGGTCTTTGACTGGCTCTTGGGAGATAACCTTAAAGTGCCCAGAATTACTTACCTAATAAGAATATTTGACTGGGCGTAGTGGCTCAGACCTATAATTCCAGCACTTTGGGAAGCTGAGTTTGGTGGATCACCTGAGGTCAGGAGTTCAAGACCAGCCTGGCCAATATGGTGAAACCCCATCTCTACTAAAAATACAAAAATTAGCCAGGCGTGGTGGCAGGTGT